GCATGGCAACGTTGTAATGATGTTGCAAACTGGTCGTGTTGCAAAAACGTTGCAATGTGTTGTTTTTAAGACTTACAGATGTCTGCGAAACTCCATTGTTTTGCAACCGTTGCAAAGACGTCTTTATTTCTTCGCAGGTGAGGTTTTTGTCACATAGACATCGTTATTACGTCTTTCGCAAGTGATATATTGGTTGTGAAAGCACACAAAATTCCACCTTTTTCCAACAGTTGTGAAAATGTTATTATGTCCTTGTGTTACATATTGGTTTATGCAGAAAAATAAGCTTAATAACTAATATATTTTTCTTTTTTAAAATTTTGTGTTCCTTGTATTTTTCTAAAGTTTAAATATTTTATAATTTCCTCAAAACCAGAAGATAATACAATTTCTTCTCTTTAGACTAAATATGCAAGATTAATAATAGCCTTAATTATTTTCAGTACTTTAAAATATATTTTTTAAATAACTTAAATTCCAAGTTACGATTATTAAGAAAAAAAAATTGAAATCTTAAAGTGAGAGTAATTATGAAAGTGGTTATTATAAATATATAACATAAATAGTAAGTTTTAAGTAAATAAAACTTGATCAGACATAAATAAAAGTAAAGGTATATATGTGGGTTAAGAAAAAAGGCAGCATTTCTAATAACAGTATTATCACATTTATTTCTGTTATATCTGAGAGACATTGAAAATTGCCCCTGTCATGATAAATTAGGAAACTGTTCTTAAGGTAACATAATCAGCATTTTACCTGAACTCAAGTATAAATTTATTCACTTTCACAGTAAAAAATATAACCATTAACCTCTATATCTCAAAGATATGGAAATGGAAGACTGTATAAAGTAGTTAATAAATGTGATCAAAAATATTTCATACAAAGATATACCTAAATCTAATAACTTCCCATATTCATATCTAAAATGAAATAATAACCTAAGAAACAACATACATGACAGCACTATTTACGAAAAACATGAACTAGTAGTGCTTGAAAGTATAAATAGCAGAAGGAAGGTAACAGAACTAAAATTTCCAATTAGTAAAAAAATATTTGTGTTTTTTTTAAGTAGTAAGCAATAATTATAGATTGCAGTATTTACTAGTAATGCTGATATTTCTTAACACCATTTCTTTCGATCATATGTTAATGTATTTACTTATTTTAAGTTTCTACATTTTAGAATAGTGGTATTCATGCACTTTTTTATAATCAATAACTTTCCTCGTGTTACTGTACAGTAATAATTTAAATAATATAGTATACGATAGTAAGCTAAGTACGTTAAAGTAAGCTCTTCTATTTAGCACACGATGAAACTTTTTGTTTCTATTTATTATGAATTTCTTTGTTATCACAAGCGCATAAAAAGTAAGCAAAGAAAATGAAATATACTTAAATTTAATAAAAAATAAAACCTAATTTCCAACATTCATTTATTGAGATAATCTAATAAACATACATAATGGCAATATTTAAAAAATGCGAATTACAGTGTTTGGAAGAATAAATACGAAACGAAAAGTAATGAAACTGCAATTTGTAATGAATAAAAAATATTTAGTGTTTTTAATATTACGTAATTAAATATCACATAATTATAGATTACAATATTTTATAGAAATGCTAATGTTTCCTTAACACTAGTTATTCGATCATACATTTCATACACTGTTTAAAATCACTAACCTTTTCTGCATACTATGAAAAAGAGAACATACTATAGAATGTGCATTATTATTAATTTTAGCTATTACATATATCTAATTCATCTTCAGCAGTCATATTAAGTATTGGTACCAGTTCAATAATTTCTTTGTATTTTGAAAATAATGAACATACCATAACAGCTTGAATTGTTGTTGCTTCTGTATGATTGCATTTTCAGCAAAACCAGAAAGTGCCTCACCATTGTATGTTATTTTTGTTTTTATATGAATTAATTCTGATACCCAACCTTTCAATATGAACACAGTAATCGATTAATATGAATGATATGTGGTATAGCACTTAGGACGTTATAACTGAAGCACAAAGCTAATAAGGGTATTCAAATATTGCACCGCTGAAACCACAGATTGGAGAACACCACCGAAACACAACACTATTTCACGACTATATTCATGATTAGTATTGTATCATTTCTTGTTGAGCAGATATTCACAAGCAAAATAAGGACAAATTCAGCATTCTCACTATGATTTCTCCTCAATTCAGAGGCTTCCAAACAGGAGCTCACAGCAATGGAATTTCACTCACTGAAGGCAATTGAAGTAAGTAGATACAGAACAATGAGAAGATCGGCAAATACTTTGCGTCTTCGCAATGTTGTAAAGACGACGTAAAAGTTACCATGACTACTTAGTAACCTCTCTGACCAGTTTGCAACATCGTGTGCTACTTGAGTTACAACCAGATATAGTTCATTGTGATTTATTTTTCGTGTGTTTTTTGACATCCGTCTTAACTATTATTTTCATTTAGGGATATCCGGTTTGTGTCTATTTATTTCCTCATTAAATTACTTTCAATAAAGATTTTAGAGAAATGTCTTTCCTTGTTTTCTTCTGTTCATTCGATGAATTTGGATAGGTCTTAAATATTCTTACAGAAATTAATGTTTTGCATTCAAAGTGCTTGTGTTGAAGCTTTCAGATTGATTGATAATGTTTATTATAAAAATTAAATTTTCCATCCAGAGGCAATGTAACATCTCCAAAGCATTGTGTTACCCTGTGTGTTGATACTAATCTTAAGTTTTTTGTTCTTCAGTAGGCTTTTGCCGCATAAGAGTTGTATTCAAGCTTGCCATATACGAGTTGTATAATGAATTCCTGTTTATATGGATTTTATCAGCACCAGATTGATTTCCCTCTTCCGTTGTTTTCAGGTGCTCCGCTGAAAAACACTTCTCATTCATTGAAATAATTAGCTTTAAATAATTCTGATTTTAAGGTCATTTCAGGTTTCCTCTGCTCATTCAGGTCCATATGAGTCCATCAAAGAGAGTCCACTCAGGTCCATTAAAGTGAGATTATTCTTACAGGACTTAAAGGTGTTTTTGCATTCCAAATTGTCCATAACATCAAAATCAATTGAAAAGTCATTGTTAATGGTTTTTCTGACACATCTAGTATTTTTATTAAAATATGTATAATTAAATTTTCCATAGTACTTGTGTGGTAATTTCGTAGTATCTTGTCATGTTCATTTCATATTTAAAGCTACTGAAATATTTCACTAAATGATTGTTAGTTTCAAACTTCAAAGAGTAATATTGTGAAGAGTTTGCACTTAAAACCATCATACCTCTGGGGGACAGGAAGGGGGAAAATTAAACAATCCTTTTGAGTGTCTGAATTATTAGGCATTCATTTTTAGTTCTTTTTAAATAAATTTTATTTTTGGGACTTTTTGAACAACTCTATCTCCCTGTACTATATAAGCGAGCACTAAAAAGCCATACAATGATATACATACAAAAAAAATGTATTTTTTTAGTACCTAGTTTTCGCAAATATCAAAAGTAAGTGTTAGAAACAAATGTGAGAAATAGAAAAGCTACTACCATGTATATCAGAGACAGGTGTTTGATTTTTTGTTTCCTTAACCCGCGAGCACACGCACCGATCCGACGAACACGAGAACACGCGCCAGGTATGTCATACCCGAATAAATTGTAATTAAAAATTTGTCAAAAAAATTAATCTTTTTTTAAAAGAAATTAAATGTAAAACCAAGTTACTACTTCATTTTAGACAAAATAGGAAACAATAAGGAGAGGAAAAATTATTTACTTACTTCTTGAACATTGTTTACAAAATGAGGTCATATGTTCTATACATATACTTTTGCTACAATTTTCACAAATGAATCTAGTTTTTCTATCTTTTTTCTTGGAGCACTCTGTACACCTCTTGTAAGTCATTTTAGGTTTTTTGGGGGACAGTTCATTGTTAACATGTTCATCGGTGGTCAGTGTTTGTCCAGAATCAGGAACCACAGATGCCCGCCGTCGTTCATTTTGAACATTTTCTATTAGCTGCATCCCGAAGGCTTTGAGAAAAGTACTCATCCCGTTTACGAGTAAAATTTTCTCGTATGGAATCAATATAAATATTTGTATTGTCAACTACATGTTTTAACATACTATCTTCATCGATAAGCAATGACAAGGAATCTAAAGGTGTTGAGACGTCTTTAGAATACTTTGTATTTCCAGGGAGTTTAGTTATAATATTTTTGGCGCCAATTCTAACATTAGTCCGGAATTTATTTTTCCATTCGTTTTTACTCCATTTTTTCCAACATAAAACTCATTGCTACATTCTAGAGTTTCATTTTCTGTTTCTGTATCTGAATCACTACTCTTTATGGGTGTGATTACTATTATATTCTTCGTCATCAACATCTTCCTCTTCTTCACTAAATGAATCCTCATCAGAAGAAACTGTTTCAAGGAGATTTCTCAATCTTTTCATCTTTTCATCGTAAGGAATATACGGCACCATGCTTACAACTCAAGAAAAACCTATACTAAAAGCTTGAAAACGAGAAGTGCGAAGTGACTCACTGAGAAACTCGAGTACACGCTCGGGTATGACATGCCCGAACAATGCTGTTCCTAAAAAACCGTTGCACTTGCCACCTCAGGAATTTCCCCCATTTAAGTATGTGACCTTGAACTCAGCTACACCAAGTTTCGACCTTTTATGAAATAATGGGCGAGAAATATACAAAAAGAAAAATGCACATGGGTATGACATACCTGCCACGTGTGCTCGCGGGTTAATGACTTTAAATTTTTATATAGACTACATACATGAGAATTTTCATGTCTTGGGTCTTTCCTGTTATACATTGTTCTTGTAGCTAGAAGTAAACTGCATCAAGAAAACTTATGTAATGAGACTTGTTTGTAGTGGAATTTATTATGATATTCCTTTAGTCAATTTTATTTGTCAAATCTTATAAGCAAAATTTGTTTTTAGATTTGGTGGTGACAGTACAGTAGTCTGTATTGACTCTGTGAGCTGTCATGTTCAAATTTTCCTGTCATGGCTGTCACAAGAGAGCGTTAACAAGAAGCCAAACGCCATTATAGTGTTTGACAAGAGAGAGAGCGCGTGAGAGTGTGCGTGTGTGCTCCATCTTTCACACCAGTATGATTCGTCAGTCTCTTTCCGTAACTTCCAAGCCTGCCAAGCTTCTTCATCCATAGCCAGCAACAGTTCTATTGGAGATTCCTTATTCAAGCAGCAAACAAAGTATTCACCTCTAAGGAAAAAATAAGTCAGCTGTTTGGACAGTCTCTCGAGGGCTCGCTCAACAGAAGTGTATATATTGACCTTCACCGGGCCTTGTCGACATTTTAAAACTTTCCTCCTGTTTGGGAGCAAGACTGCATCTGTGATGTGCAATTGCGGTTGTTCAACTTTGCAACTGATTAACTTTTCTTTCGGAATTTTGAAATGAAAAATATACAACTGGAAAAGAGTTGTACTTTTGGGAAGTGCCTTCTGTCTGAGGTGCGTTTGACTGTGTGGTCCAAACCTCAAACCCTTGCGGGCAAATTAAATTTTGTCGCCGACAAACTTTTCGGAGAGTATCCTTGCCGTTATCAACAAATGCTGATTGAATAGGATTTTTGCTGTTAAAGAACAAGGGTAACTAAGATGCTGTATTTTTAAAAGTTGAAAATAATAAACTTTAAATCAGTGAGTATTTCACAGTGTATTATATCAGATATTTATTTTTTGGCAGCTTATTTTCATGAAGTAATACTTGTTCCTGCTTTTTATATAGTTTTTAAGAACATGTATATTGTTTAGATTAAAAATTTTTAAACAATGTAGCATATTTTCCAACTGATGGCATCAAGCTGGCCTAATAAGTAGTTACCCTTGTTTTTAAGCAATTGCTGGGATCACCCTAAGTTGTGAATAATTACTGTACAAAAACAATCGTAATTGTTCTTCAGATTATTTAGGAATCATCTAAGTTGTCTTAATATGCATTATATTTCATTATCGCGTGTATTGGGACAGCCAAAATTATCATAGTCATTTGTTCCCAATATTTTATTGCTGTGATCTTAAAAATAACTGAACATTTTCATCCTGTTTTCAGTTGGTGTGAATATTAATTTTCTAAAACATATCTAAGAATATGCTTTTGTTATATTTTTGTAGTATTCTCAGGCAAATCTAATCATTCATGTGTGAGTGGTGTGTATGTAACAAATGTTTTTTTTTCCACTTCCTTATTCCATATTCTGATATATGACCAATAAAATTAGCTCAATCAGTTTGCAAGATTCTTTTATTTTGTAACAAGTTTAACTTTAAATAGCATTTTTTTAATCCATGTATTTAGATTTGTATTGCATATTTAAATTACAGACAATATATACAAACTTTAGGCTCTTGCATTGTGTATTGTTGGAGTTTGAATAAAATAAACAAAGCAGCTTTAATTTATATAATAATAGATTTAATATTGTGTGTGCTGTATTTAAAACTGTTATGTATGTGAAATGTAAATCTATTAAGAAATTATTTAACATTAACATTTTTAAGATGCTAGTTCTAACAAAACACAGTTTTAGGGAGGGGGAAAAAAAAAAAAAGCATATTGTCTTGAACAGCCTTATATAAGATAACCTTGTAATTTTGATTCTTACCTTGAAAGTGAGATGGCCTTCAGCTTCATATATACAAACATAGTGTGTTGAAAATGTTTTATAATTTTCTTTAAATGGTTTAAATATGATTATGACTTAGGCCGATTAAATGTTTTCTTAATGCAATGGTAATAATTTAAGTGATAAACTTATTTAATAATCAGTGAAAACTCTTCATATGCACCTCTAAGAATATAAACAATGGTCAAAACTAACACTAGCATACCATACAGGGGTCTGAGACCAATGTCACAATATGCTGACAATTCATTCTACTGTTGAAAATGAGCAAAGAATGTCCTCTGAAGATGTAGTGGGAAATGTGGTGTTTATGAGTAATGAGTTGTTGAAAATGAACTTCTTGGAGCAGAACTTAGTGCATTACTGGAAGATGTTTCTTATTCAGTAGGTGTATATAGTTTATACATAATGGAGTGCTTGCACATTTTGCATAAGATGTTTGGGTATTTCAGTATTGTATGTAGAGTAATAGACAGGCATATTGTCGCACTAAATGCTCTGCTTGATCTTAATTGCTTACCTCCAGCATTTCTAAGAATTCGGAGCAAATTCTGTATGAAGAATAGTGTAACATACTGCTAAGCACTGTACTGGATTTGTATGTATCCATTCTGAAGAGGATTTTTCCTGCTGTAATGCCACACTGGCATAACTAGAGCTCAAATTATTGACCCTCCCCACTTACCGTTATTTATCGCACTCTTAGAGGAGAACACTTAAGTGTCTCAAGAGCTAACTTTTAAGAATAATGAAATATTTTTCAAGGATGGATTGATTACTTTCGTGCTAATTCTTCCTCTTGAAAACCGGAGGAGGTTGAATGGTGTTTACTGTTTGTGAAGAAAGAACTTAAATGATAAACAAAGCACATATTAAAGGCACAATATTATATCATGTATTTCAAAGGACTTGCCAATTCAAAAATCTTCTTGCTTACAGAAACTTTCCTATTTGTGCATACATTTTACATTGTTACCATAAATCAAAAGTTTCTAAATCATATGCTAAGGAAATGTACAAGAGGGAGAACTAGTGAATAACTAGGGTATTTAGGAATATGAATACTTAAGACCTCATGGAGGAAAGTGCAGAGTAAAACTTAAAAGTTGGTAGGTGTCCTCAATTTTTTAAGAATGGTGAAAATTGGGCCTTCTTGTCCTGAACAACATCATTTGGTCTTGATGTTGCTCTTGGTGGGGTGGATAATTTTTTCCAAGATCTTTTCACCAGGCAATAAATATACTTGCGAGGGAAAAAAATCTTGATAGAAAAGAAGCATACCGTTGTCAATCTTCAGAGGAAACAAAGTATAGAATTGAAGATGGCACTGATAAAGATTTCATATAAAATTACTTTGAGTTGAACATGAAATTTGTGCCAATTTAAATTTTTTTTAAAAATTTTTTACTGCTTTTAAGGAATGACTTATCTGGTAAAGTTGCAGAGTTTTAGTTAGACCAATAGATAAACATTGATATTATTGTACTATAAATTTACCTAGTATGCAAATAAGAATTGTTCAGAATTTGTGAGAAATAAGAATGGACCCTTTTTACAATATCAAGACTTCTTATTTCACCTTGTAGATATTATGTAAATGAACTCAGTTAACTACAGCATTTACTTGTGTGTTTTCTCCCCATCTATTAATTATACCACAGGTTAAAAGTATGCAGTGTATGCTATTTTTAAAGAGATTACAAAATTATAAACACATCACAGTGTAAAGCACACCTAAAGACTCTAATGTTATGTATTTCAAAGGACTTGCCAGCCAATTTCAGTAACATTCTTTTTACTTACAGAGAATGCCTTTTACACTGCAGCCATAAATCAAGTTTCTAAGTCAAATGTTGAAAAAACTAGGGGGAAGGTCGTGTGATTAATGATTAAATACAGTATGTATACTCACTTCCAAAAGTTAAGCACGAAAATGTAAAATTAAAAAAAAATCGAATCAACTGCTTTGATTGACACAAAATTTGTCAGGAAAGTAGCATATATACCGTATTTGACGGCATATAAGATGCACCCTTATTTAGAAGGCCACACACAAGGGAGAAAAAGTTTCAATAGTCCGTGCGACAGCGTGGTATCACAATAACTTAAAATGTGGTTTCTTTTAGTTCTCACGTTTCATAAAAGCCAAATAAACAATCATTGAATGCAATTACCAAAACATATTTTTATTAAGGAAAAGTAACAAAAGGCAAGCTATTTTGAACATATGTAAATTTTAATAATGAATAAATGGCAAGCAATCAAACATAATACAAAATAAAGCAGAAATAACAAAAAACACGGATTCAAGGAAAACATTGCCTATCATGAAATGAGACTTTAATCACTTTCAAAACCAAAAAAATCCTTTTCACTATCATCATCGAAAACGAGAGTATCGTCATCACTACTGTTTGTGTCATCGCTAGTATCACCTTCTTCGAATAATACGTCGTCTTCAGTTCCATCAAGAACATTACTGATTCCGCACTTCTTAAAGGACTTTACAATTACTTAAGCCTTTACGTCCTCCAAAGATCTTTTTACTCACTCGCACACTTGTGAAATAGAGGGCTGATTCATTCTGCGTGAGGGCATGATGTGGCTCTCCTATCCACTTGTTCCATCGTTTTCACACTTTTTCCTTGAATGGCTTATTCACCGATACATCTAAAGGCTGCAATTGGCTAGTCAGTCCACCAGGAATGACAGCTATCTGGGTTTTTAATTCTCTCACTGTATTCTTTATGGTTTCAGTTCTATGGGTGTTAAACTGACCCAAAGCCAAAAGAGAGGGTTTTAAGAGTCCACCAGGTCACTTGCCCATACATTCTGTAACCATAGTTTCATTCCAGCTTCGTCCATCCAGCCTTTCGGATGAACATGAACAATTACACCCGTTGAACATTTTTCTTTTGAATGTGAAAAATGGTGGTAGTTTTCATGTTAGAACTTTTTTTCATGACCTATGGTTTTTATGGTTATTAATTTAGACCCTTTAATACTCAGTCTTGTTGGATGGTACATCAAATGTGAGTGGAATTTCATTCATATTTCCTATTTAACTGAGCTCAAATTCCCATGTTTTTCCGCAAATCCTTTAGCCTCATTGATTATCATTTTAGTTGAAACACTTATCCCAGATTTCCTCTTATCTGTCACCCACATTTTCAAGTTCAGGCCAAGATTGAGTTGGGCATCGAAGGTATGTTTTTGCTTTTTAGCGGTCTTCAGTTGATCTTCCTGCAGTCGCCAAGTACGTATCATTTTTCCGGTAGGTGGGGGACCGAAATGCCTTGCTGCTGCTCTGTTTCCATGCACTTTCGCATAGTTTAACACCCCTAGTTTATACTGAATTGTATAGCTTAATCTCTTGTTTCCTGTAGTCATATTTTTCAGGGTATTTTTTTTTAAAGCATATGCACCGATACCGACACGTGTGTTGGCTGAGTCAAAGAAAGTCGATGTAAAGAAGGAAAGGCTCCATGGACATAATGTGACCTTCGAACTTCGACATCAGCTTTGAGCTTTGGCGCTTTTCGGCGACAGAAATTTCATGTATGCGCAAAATAATTATGGCAGATGTAGAAAAAGTTGTGTATCTAGACCCTTATCCGTGCTAAAAATAGCATTCAGTGTTGAAAGTTAACCTGTTTTCTTCACTTATAAGATGCAGGTAACTTTTTTGAGACCAGATTTAGGGAAAAAAGTGTGTCTTATATGCTGTCAAATACGGTATTTGCATAAAACAAAATCAATAATTATATACAGAATAGAAAACAATATTAAATTTTTGTAAGTTATTAGATAATAACATACTGGAGACTTAAACAGAATTATATATAAAGTGAAAATAAACAGCATAAAATGAAAAAAAAGGACATTAATAAGGTATGTGATCCCCCCTCATCTGTATACAAAGTTTACACCTTGTGATCATGCTATCAATTAGGTGGTCAACCACTGCAGAATTAAGCAATTGGAAGACAAACTCAAGGTACCCGGGCCTACAGTAGCTGCAGATATCGCCTTGCCAGTGGAAGCCGTAACCATAGATGTCACACTTGTGGAGGTCGCTCTGCGATTCCACTTGACTACAACAGCAATATATTGATCTTCCGCTGAGGTGTTTTTGGCTACGGGTCTTCAGACAACTGTCTGTGTGGTTTGGAATTGTTCCCATAATCATGAAATTACAGAATGATGAACGGCGAAGAAAAGAGCAACATCTGTGATCGACTCTCATGCTTCGATGCGCCCCACAGCACGCCAGCGCTCAGAATCTTCCATTCTTCTTCGGGAAGTCATAGAAACACTTGTCTTGAAAATAAATTGTACGAAAGTTTTAAACACCTTCTATCAGTACTTGCAATCAACTTCTGTAACCCTTCATAAAGCTGGCTTTTTATAAGACTGCCTTTTTTGCATATTTCTTGTCATGAAAGCATGATTGGCTGTTGCCTAACATATTTGCATACTTCCATCTACCTCTGCAGCGAATTGCATCATCTTCAATTCTGATTGACTTCCAGAAATTAGCATTTTCCTCTCTGTGCTTAACTTTTGGAAGTGAGGGCAATTTCGTATTAAAGCTATGTGTGTTTTT